GTTGTTAGGTACATACATATTAAGTATTGTTATGTCTTCTTAAAGAATTGACCTCTTAATAATTGTGTAATGCCCTTCTTTGTCCTTGAAATTTTCCTTTGCTCTGAAGTCAGCTTTGTCTGAAATTAATATAGCTATTCTGGCTTCCTTTTAATTAACATTAGCATGGTATTTCTTTCTCCATCCCTTTACTATAAATCTATGTTATTTTACATTAAAAGAGGATTTGGGAAGACAATATATTTTGGGATCTTGTTTCGTTTTCTCCCACTCTGACATTCTCTGTCTTTCAATTGGTATATTTAGATCATTCACATTTAAAGTGATTATTGATACCTGGATTGACATTTATCATATTGTAAGTCTCTTTTATGTCACTTTTGTTTTTTTAATTTCTCTCTCATTTTTTTCTTTTCTGACTTTAATTAAACATTTGATATGACTCCATTTTGTCTCTTCTCCTATCATATTAATGATACTTTTTTTTTATTGTTTTAGCAGTTGCCCTTGAGTGTGAAATATATATTATAACGAATCCACTTTCAAATAACACTATTGCACTTCACTGTTAGTACAGGCACTTTATTTTGAATTATTTCCAGTTCTCCTGTCTCATTCCTTATTACATTGCTGTCATTCACCTCACTTATCCATAAGCTGTAATTACCCAATACGTTGTTGTTATTATTATTTTTACTATTAACCTGTTACATCAATTAAGAAAAAGACAAAAGATTTTATTTTACCTTCATTTACTTTTTCTCTAATAATCAACCTTTTAATGTAGCTCTGAGCTTCTGACTTACATCATTTTTCCTCTCTCTGAGGAACTTATTTTAACATACCATGCAAGGCAGGTCTACTGGCAACAAATTACCTCAATTTTTGTTTATCTAAGGACTTTGTTTCTACTTTACTATTTAGAATTTTTTTTCTGGATATAGAACTCTAAATCAGTGTTTGTTTTCTCTCAACACTTTCAGTATTTCACTCCACTCTCCTCTTTCTTGTGTGATTTCTTAAAAGAAATCGTATGTAACTCATCTTGTTTCTCTGTAGGTAAGGTGTTTTATTTTACTCTGCTTCCTTTCTAGACTTTCTTAGTCTTTGACTTTCTTCATTTGAGATATGACTAGCCTAGGTCTAAATTTTTTTTTGTATTTATCCTGCTTGGTGTTCTCTGAGATTCCTAGACAAGTGGTTTAATGACTTGTTAATTTTGCAAAATTCTCAACGGTTATTATGTCAAATATTTATTCTGTTTCTCCCTCTTTTGCTTCTCCTTCTGGTATTTCCATTCAATGTTACACACGTTACACCTTTTGAAATGTCCTGCAGATCTCGGATATGTGACTTATCACAGCCTTAGAGTGAAATGTGGAATCTTTACTTACATGTATGTGCTTTCTCCTTCTCACTTCCAAATTTCATTGCCTTGATTATCATATGATGTTAAAATTTTTGTATCAATTAGCGCATGTCATTGTAAAGGTTAATGATAAGAGTGGTCCATTGTATTTGCCCTTATTTCTGTTCCTTTCATTGTTCTTGCTTCTTTCCGGAGGCTCCAGAATTTCTTCTTTTATCACTGTCCTTTTTGAAAACCTTCCTTTAGCCATTCCTTTCGAATGTCTGCTAGCAACAGATTCTTTAAGATTTTTTGTTGGGTTAAAAAGTTCTTATTTCCATTGCATTCTTGAAGAATTGCTTCTCTGAGTGTAAAATTTGTAGTTGATACTTCTTTTCTTTCAGCCTTGAAAAAACGTGCCATTCCTTCTGATGTCTATGGTTTTAGATGAATAATCTCTTGTCATTCAGATTAGCATTTTTCTGTAGGTAACACGCTCCTCTCTCTGTTTTCAATGTTTCTTAGTTTTTCGTTTTCAAAAATTTAATTGTAATACATCTTGAAGTAGATTTCATTGTGTTTATGCTCTTGAATTTACTCAACTTTTTGAATCTGTGGACTTATGTTTTTCCACATTTGTAAAGTTTGTAGCTGATGTTTCTTCACGTACTCTTTCAGCCTCACTTTTTTTTAGTTTTTATTTTGGGGATTCTGATGACACTTGTGTTGGATCTGTTGGTATTGCCCCATAAGTCATTGAGGCTTTGTTCTTTTTGTCTTCAGTATATTTTCTCTTTGTTGGCCGGTTTGGATAAAGTCTATTATTTATCCTCAAGTTCATTGTTTATATTCTCTGTCTTCTCCACTCGACTCTTGAGCCCATTCAGTGAGATTTTTTAAAAGTTATGTTATTGTATTTTTCAACTTTATAATTTCTGTTTGATTTCTTATGACTTCTGTTTATTTGCTGAGCTTTGCTATTGTTTCAAGAAAAGTTGTAACTGGTTGCTGAATCATTGCTGAATGATGATTGCTTTGTACATCTTTGTCAGATAATTGTAGCACCTAATTCATTTTTTAATATGGCATCAGTTAGTTGTCTTTTCTCAATAAAATAAAATTATGATTTTCCTGTTTGACAGAATGAGTGATTTTCCCAGTTATGGTGCTCTCGATGGTTCCGGTGATGGCGTAATTTTCAGAACCTTTGTTGGGTTATTTTGATCAGCTTGGTTTACCTGTGCTGCTAGGACTCCCACTGCCCCTGCTAGCAACTACTGAGGAGACAGAAGAAGCTTCCAAAGGCTACGATGTTAATGCCTCTATGTGGGAAAAAAGCAGCTAAGGACTGCTGGGATGAAGGGCTTTCCAGGGCTTGTGATTTTTCTGGTGGGTGCCATCCTGTGTCTGAGACATAGAGGTCACTTTCCAGGCCAGGGGGTTTTGTTATAGGATACCTCTTACTGGTGTCTCCCAGCTTGTTAGGGTCTCTGGGTAAGGCTGCAAAGTCTCAGTCTTGGGAGAACACTTCCCTGACCACGTATTGACAGCTTATCTTCCACTTACTCCTCTTTGCTGGTTTTTTTGTTTTTGTTTGGTTGGTTTTTTTTTTTGAGTCGGAGTCTCACTCTGTCACCCAGACTGGAGGGCAGTGGCCGCTCCCGGCCACCGCAGCCTTGATCTGCTGGGCTCCGGCGATCCTTCCACCTCAACCTTCCACATAGCTGGAACTACAGGCGTGTGCTACCACTCCCGGCTGATTTTTTTTTTTTTTTTTTTTGATTTATTGTACAGATGAGGTCTCGCTGCCCAGGCAGGTCTCAAACCCACGGGCTCAAGCAATCCACTCACCTCAGCCTCCCAAGGCGCGGGATTACAGGCTGAGCCACCGAGCCCGGCTCGGTTTTTTTTGTTTTTTGTTTTTAAGGGGCAGGTTTCACAATGGGTTGTCAGTGAACTCCCATGCTTTCGGAGCAGAAATAACCTTCTCTGAGCCACTTTACGCTGCTCATTTGGGAATCAGAAAACACCAGAAGTGTGTTTCCTTCTTTGGTTGGGTGCTGAATTTTAAAATGCTTTGTAAACCATTGTAGTGTTCCTCCAGCCTTGGGGTCCTAATCAGTTAACCTTCCTCTCTCCACCTTTCAGAATTTCCTTTGTATTATTCCCAGGCTTTGTAATTATACTTAGTGGGAAGAAGCTGGAACAGACAAGTCTGCACCATCTTGATCAGTCCAGAAGTCCCCCCTTAAGTTTTGTTTGAAAGTACTCTAAATTATTTCGAGCACTTTACAACATTTGAGCACAGCCAAATATTATTATAACTTTTTTACTATTTTATAAGAAATATGGGAGGTGATTTATATGTAAACTTAAACTTGTGCATTAAGATATAATGACATTTTTGCTCTTTAATCTATGAGCGTTTAGTGGTGAAGTAATTTTCAAGATAGTATTCTGAGGAAAGAATATTAAAATGTTAATATCTTTCACTTCCTAGTGACAAGCTTTCAATGTATTTTTAAATTGATGTTGGTTCCCTTATAAGTTTCCGCTTCTTTTCTTTTCTTTTCGGAGTAGTGGGTGGCAGCGATGGCAATGAATGCAGAGATTTTATCTGTAGAGGTCTTATCTATCAGTGATTTGTGATTGAGTAGTAAAAAGCAATAAGGCAGGGACTGGGATAAGTTTCAGGTCCCAAAGGTGGCCACCTGTGAGTTTGAAAAACAGCACCAAATGGCTAAGCATGTTTGAGAAATTGATTGAGTCGATCCACTTCCATTTTCCTCATGCCCTAATTCCACGATGACTGCAGTTTGCCTTCTCCCACCCTCTTTTTCTTTTCAAGACAAACAGCCTGTGTCCCTGCTTTTGCAATCATCCCAACTTCACTGTGATGTGTCCTCTGTCTACCCCCCTCATCAGAAGTGTCTCTTGTCCTAATATGTGGTTCTAAAGAACAAAGTCGGTGTCTGAGTCTGTCATGAAACTAAATTAAATTAAGTCTATCATCGCCAGTATTGAGAAGATGGTGCTGAACATCTGCACTACTGAGAGCTGTCGTTGACTCAGGCACACTTTGTATTTGAGTATATGATTCACCTCAGTGATGAAAACGGCCTATCAATGTCATTGCTTTAGCTTCCAAATAAGGAGTCAGTCTATCCAATATAAGGAAAACACATACTTCCAAAAAATGGATAAGTCCTACAGGGAGTGTCTTTCCACGTGTTTAATATACAGTTAGTGCTCTTCACAAAAAGTGGCGATACAATAAATCAGTGTCTTTGTATAATGCTAAACTTTTTCAATAATTATTTCATCATCTCAAACAGATTTTATCTTTAATGTATACATTATTCTGGTTTTATTTTAGTGGCGGATGATTTTTGAATGTTATTTCTATAAAATACATGTACTATCATGTACAAGTTAAGGATTGATTTTCTAATAGAAGAGAAATAGACAGGGATCACTTAAGCTTAGATAGTAAATAGTGGGGGGAAATGGTTGGTTAACATGCTTAAAGAAACATCTTTGTCACAGTGGCAATTCTGTCTCTCCCCCCACCCCCCCGGGAGAAAAGGGAATATATTGGGATGGTGGAAGTGGGGGCAAAGTAGATATCATGGTTCTCATACTTGTCTTTCAGATGGAACCCCACTGAGCTGGTGGGTTGGAAGAACCAATGAAACACACACTTATTGGAGAGGTTCTCTGCCTGATGCTCAAAAGTGTACATGTGGATTCCAGGGGAACTGCGTTGATTCTCAATATTACTGCAACTGTGATGCTGACCGGAATGAATGGTGATTTCCACATGATTTCCCTGCACAAAAATGTAGTGTTTATTCCTTAATTATGCATAGTTAATTAAATATCAGACAAGCTGGTACACAAAGGTAACTAGATTAAAGTATGTTCAAGTAAGTTAAAAATATGTTTTGATGAAATATTATCAATTAATATAAAGATTAAATTTCATGACCAAAGATTTACTATTTCACTGTGGATACTATATATTGTGCATTTTGTTTTTTTAAAATAGAAATACCTGGTAAGTTTTTCACTCTCTGGAAATCAAATATCAGTCTCTTGGAAGTTTATTTTAAGTAATCTATCTAGAACTTACCCGATGTACTCATAGCTGCAATTCAAAAGGTGAATTCCTCCAAATATTTGTCTTAAGTGGGTCTGGACTATGATGCTGCATATTCTATCTTTCTTCTAGGAATTCACAGTAAACATTAACACATTAGAACTCCAAAAGGTGCTGCATAAAAGGATTGTGTTTATTTTGTGGAGTGAACGATTTTCCACACTCAATTGACTGTTCTTTAGTATAATACCAAGACTTCAAGAATCAAGTGTTCTATAGACAACACTCCGAAATAACTAATATAGAATTTCAGAGTTTGAAAATTGTGCTTTTAGCTTTCTTTTGAGCAGAAAAATTTTCTCATGTAGGCTGCAACTTTTTTTCTTTAGAAGTTGTCTTTGAGGTTATACTTGGAATGTTTACTGTTTTGTCTTCTTATTTGTAATGTGAATGTGTTTTGAATCTCTGAATTCATGTCAGCAACTCAAAAAAAGTTGTTATAAAGCAACTAGTCTTGTAGAGTGCATTCTTTAAAAAAAAAAATTAATGGTCAATTCAGGTGTCATTATAGTTGATTTGGGTATAAAATAACTAATCTGAGCAGTAATTTGATTTCTGAAAACTGAATTTATCATTTGGACTGTATGACAGTTCATTTACTTACTTTGCATAAACAAAGACTATTTTGCATCACTTAAAAATTGCTGAATTTGAGAAATGCACTTGCAAAGACCGCACATGTCAACAGAATACAGTACTGTGTGCTTGTGTGAAGACTATTTTTACTCTTCCTCAGGTTCAGAGCTGCAAAAATGGTCATAAAGATTTTTGAGTCACTTTTTTTCTTTATTTGATGTACAATTTCAATATAGCTTGAAAAAAATGAATGCAAATTTAGTACAGTAACAGACAAAAATCTGACCTGTAGTTTCAGATTTGGTCACCAGTAATTCCCATGTCTTAAGGAACCTTTCATCAATTAAAACGCCTTCAGAAAAGTTAAGATGTACATTATAAAATGTCTGGGATTACAATTTGATAACATTTATTATCTTTGGCCTCCCTAATGAGATCAACAGCCACTTTCAGATCTCCTTGAAGGGCATCTCTAAGAGATTTGCTTTTCCTCCATTCTGTGACTAGCCCCTAGCTGTCAGGGCTCCAGCCGTCTAGCTCCTGGCTGTTCAGGAGACCTCCCACGTTCTCCATAGGTCAGAGAGGAGAGATTTGGCAGGCAACGTAAGACACCACAATTGTACATATTCTAGTGGTTTTGTGAGGTAGTTTGAAGACCGTTCCCACTTTTTTTTAAAGTTATAGGACTTTTTTTAAAGTTATAGGACAATTCAGTGCATATTTTACTATAGATTTCGCATGTACTTAGGACAATAACCAGAGGAACATGTCACTTGAAGAATACAGCCACCTGTATTGAGTGACCTTCCTGCAAACTGAGTAGCGGGGAGAGGGACAGAGGCAGGGGAGGGTCCAGGTCTTCTGACACCCTTAGCTATATTGCTTCAGTTCACTGTCACTCATGTGACGGACCTGGGCTTTTTTTTTTTTTTTGGTGGAAAGTTTAAGAGGAAAACAGGAATAATTAAACCCCATCAAAATTTCAAAAAAAGGGGATTGTGGGGCTACTTGCTTTTTAAACTTAATTTATTTACTTTGAAGTTTCCAGTAGACAGATCTTAATTAACTGTAAGAATATGATCATTCTGAAATTTCATCATAACTCTCACAGTATATATTTTGTGAATGTGGGCATGTATATGGGAAGGAGCTGGGAATTCCAATTTCTATCTGAATTTTTCAAATAAAATTAATTTTTCAATCAGTTTGTAAAAGTGGAATTTACTAATCTCATATAAAGATTGTATAGATAACATTATAGGTAAAGATGAAAATATCTATATTTATAATAATATTAAGATATAGGTATTGCAACTTTAGTATTAGTTTTTATTGAAAGTCCTTTTTTATAATTACTGATGTGCTTAGTGAGTTTTTCTTGATGGGAAGTTTATAATAAAAAATAGCATTCAGTAATAAATGTAAATTCAAAGCTATTTTATTATCTGCTTATGCACATATCTATGCATATGATCAGGAGTATGATTAATATAAGCTATCAACATTTTTCCATAAGTTATTCCTATAATCAGCAATGCATTCTAAAGCATATTATATGAAAAAATAATTAATGATCAGACAGTACCCCAGTTAGAGTAACAATTTTCTATCAAACAACTATTCACAAATGCCAAAAATGTATTATAAAAACAAATATATTTGAAAGGCACTATAACAATTTAAAATATTGAACTATACTTCAAGACAATATGTGCATATAAATATATTGTGAACAATGTTCAAAGAGAACTATATATTCTCTACAATGTTCATATCACATATAACTCCACTGTCTTAAAAAATCCACAAGTTATTTTACTACTTATAACGATTACACAGGTTAACTGTAATATTATTTTACATCTAACAACTTAAATAGAACTTTTGTATGATTATTTTAGAGACTTTAAAAAAAGCACCAAATAAGATGGTTTAAATATATACAAGCATACACATAACTATAATAAACATGAGTGAACTTCACTAATTTAAAAGCTAACTGTTAGACATTATCATATTGGATTTTTTAAGAGGCTGTAAGCTTGTTTACAAAAGATAAGATATAAACACTAAGTAAAGTTGAAAGTAAAAAAAAAAAAGGAAAATGTTTACCAGGTAAATTCAAATCAAAGGAAAGCAGTTATACTTATATTGTATAAAACAAAACCAAGAAATATTAGTAGGTATAAAATTGGACCCTATCTAATGCTGAGATTAATTCACTAGAAAGATCTAACTAGTTTACACTTGTATGCATCATCCAGCTGTTTAAAATGCATAATAAAGAAAGGATTAACAAAAATGCAAGGGGAAATTGACAAATTACTAGAAGCAGTGGGTTGTGTGCATGTGTGTTGCAGTCTTGCTCTTTTGCTCAGGCTGGAGTGCAGTGGCGTGATCATGGCTCACAGCAGCCTCAACCTTCTGTCTCAGCATCACAAGTAGCTGGGACTATCAGTGCGTGGCACCACACCAAGCTAATTTTTATTTTTTATTTTTTTTGTAGAAGCAGGTCTCACTGTGTTGCGCAGGCTGGTCTTGAACTCCTGGGCTCAAGCAATCCTCTCACCTCGGTCTCTCAAAGTTCTGGGATTACAGACATGTGGAATATTTCACTACATCCAGTGAAATATTTAAACATAACGTTTTGGGGATCAATAAGTGAAGCAGACAAGAATATTTTAATACTACAATTAGCCAACTTGATATTGTTGCCATATACAGAATGCATATCATTCTTAAGCAAGAGAACACTTTACAGAGGAGTGAAATCTTAACAAATTTCAAATAATTATCATGGTAAAAACTACATCTTTAATTATAATTTGAGCCATAAATGAACAACAAATATATAATTTTAAAATCTCATACATGTGCCAGTAAAAGACACAAAAGGAAATGAAATACATACAAATAGCAAAAATATTTGGAAAAAAACAAGACTGACAGATAGTATAGATAACAAAATTGCTTACTTAGAAAATTAAAGTTAATATAAAACATTTTGTTGGGATGAGAGCTCAGTATATTTGTTGAATTTATGACCAATTGAGAAGTGATTTGAATGTTTATAAAATCATAAAATAATTACCATTGCAGAAATTACTGAAAATTATTGCAATATTTATAAAAATGGGAGATTCTGTGGAATAGCTGCAATACTTTTCTGGAAAAAGTATAAAGCTTTATTAAGATCATTAAGGACAAACAAAATAGATGGATTCACTACTATCATTGATAGTATGACTCAGTATCTTAAAGCAGTGGTTCTCAATCAGAAGTAATTTTGACACTCCAGGGGACATTTAGCATTATCTGAAGACGTTTTTTTAAAAATCACAAAGGGAGGGGATTGTTTCTACTGGTATCTGGTAAATGTAAGCCTGGGGTGCTACTAAACATACTGCAATGCACCGGGCAGCCCTGGAACAAAAAAATTGTCCAAAAGATCAGTAATGCTACTATTGAGAAATCCTCTGTTAAAGATGTCATTCGCCTCAAATTAACTTATACATTTGATACAATTTCAAACAATGTCAAGTGTTTGATTTATTTGTGTGTATTGCCACAAGCTGCCTTTAAAACATACGGAAACTAAGAATGAAAGAATAAGCAAGAAAATTTTTAAGGTTACAAACAAGGTGAAGAGACTAGTCATATCAGATATCACAACATTATTTTGCTGTAGTAATTAATGCAGGTTGAATTGGGCAAGAGGTAAATAGATCAGTTAAACAGAAATTGAGAACCTAGAAATTTTTTAGGTGGGTTAGTTGTGGATTATAATAATTATATTATTAACCTGCTCACCCAAAACAATTATAAATATTTTGTTTGTTTGTTTTAAGAGACAGAATCTCATTCTGTCACCCAGGCTGAGTGGTCACAGCTCACTATAGACTCCAACTTCTGGCATTAAGTTATCCCCTGGACTTGGTCTCTCTAAATCCTGGGATTACAGGCATGAGCCATTGTACCATGCCCAAAAGTTAAGGTTGACTCAGAATTTCTCCCTTTTAGCTTTCTTTACAGCCTTCTAAATTTATAGCTGTATTTTGCCTCAAATAAAGTGCCCTGGCAAACCTTAAGTGGTAACTTTTAAAAGTTTTCACTCTCCCTAGAAAAGTATAATATCCAGAGCAAAGGAGTTTTTCAGCAAAAAGTCTTTGAAAGTTCTCTTACTGACTTTTTAATAGTGCTACAAAAGATTATTGTACCTAGAAATGCACCATTTCAACTTTAAATATAGTATAAGCTTCAGAAAATAACACGAAGAAAAGAAGAAAAATGAGATGTTCCCATTAAGAAGTTTTGAGGAAGTCTGGTCCCCTTAGCAGATCTTGAGTACTCTATATGCCAAGATTGGGATCTGCCTGTACCAATAAAAAATTGGTGAAAAATGTTGGCCATCCTTATGCTCAGACTGGGAACACGATGCTTTCCAAAACAACTAGAAAAAAAAAGATCTTATTATAGTGTCTGTCCTAATGCACCTGAGGTGCACTATGGATTCCCCTTACACATTCTGAGTATTCTACACACACTGTCACTGTTAAAAATGAAATGAAAGGCAACTTTTAGGCAAAATGGGTCTTGAAAATTCAAGCATACTTCATGAATAACTAACAGAATTGCATGTCCTCTAGGAGATTATCTTCCTAAAATGGCGATCACAGAAGTTGTTTTCATTATTTTGGATGCCTACCACATGAATAAAAAATTTCCTAGACTGACCTACCTCATTCCCTAGGATACATTTTTCTGACTTGTCTACTACCATTAGTCTACTCCAAAGCAGAGTGATGATGACTTTAGATAATCCATGTTCTGATCTTTTCATAAACATGAATAACAGAGTCTCAACCATGTAAGGCTGTGGGATGTTAGTTTGAATTTTAGAAATAATCTTTCTTTACCATTAAGCATATTTTACAGAGTATTTATTCATATGAATTTATGTATCTTCATAATGTATTACAGATTGCTTCATGTTTAATGGGATGAAAAACGTAATTAATATAGCCATTTTTAAGTTCTAGTTCTTAAATTTGAAACTTTGATGCTTAAAGTCCTTTATAAAAGTTGGTTAATAGGTACATGGTTACAGTTAAATAAAAGGAGTAAGTTCTAGTATTTGATAGTACAGTAGGGAAATTATAGTTAGCAGTAGTTTATTGTATGTTTTAAAATAGCTTGTAGAGAAGAATTGGGTGTTCTCAACACAAAGGAAAGACAAAGGTTTGAGGCCAGGCACGGTGGCTCACGCCTGTACTCCCAGCATTTTGAGAGGTCAACGCAAGGATTGCTTAAGCCCAGGAAATTGAGAACAAACTAGGCAATGTAGTGAGACCTTGTCTCCGTAAAAAAATTTAAAAATTAGCCTAATGTGGTGGCGTGTGCCTGTAGTTCCAACTAATTGTGAGGCTGAGGCAAGAGGATCACCTATGTCCAGGAGGTTGAGGTTGCCACAAGCTGTGACGGTGTCACTACACTCCTTCTAGCCGACAGAGTGAGATGCTGACACATACCCACACACCAATTGCCCCAATTTGATCAATATGCATTGTATACAGGTATCAAAATATCACTGCACCCCCCAAAACAGGTACACCTGTGATATAGCGATTTAATTTTTTAATTCAGAAAACTTTATTTTGCAAATACAAAAGGTTTGCAATTTTCAAGTATTGGTTATTCTCATCTTTTGCCACAGATGTATACAGAGGAAGGTTTTGGAACTGTGCAATTTAAAGAAAACAGTATTTACTAGATTCTAGACAGATTCTGAATCAGAGTAAGTGGCTGACAGAGTGTTTGTCTGTAAATCAGAATACACCTGCAATTGAGGCGTATATAATAACATATACACATAGGCATGTGAATGTAAGTCTAGATATCAACATTTCATACATATGTATAATAAAATGCTTTTGCAAAAGAGTTGATAAATGCCTTTATTTTGACCAGACAAAATATTAATGGTATAGCTAAGACCCCAGGGTCTCCCTACGTCTCTTCAAGGTCTTTTGTATTGGACACAGAAAAGCAAATTTCTTCTCCCAGTCACACATGGCATGATGATGGTGATAACAGTTATTCATATTCATGGCTCCCAATAGGCTGTATGTTTTTAGGGGGCAGAGATGAGACGATGTTTTTTACTCTGTGTCAGTGCCCAGTGTGGTGCCTGTTCAGCAACTCAGTGTCGACAGGAGACAGCATTCCACAGGACGCTTTGACACACGTTAGCCTCTGTGTCACTTATAAGGGTATTGCATTTATTTTAGCTTTACATCTATGGAGTTGGTTTTTCAATGTACAAAGTTAGCAAGGTAACAGATTACCAGCAACCACAAAAGGATTTTTTTTAAGTACTAAAAAAAAAAAAAATGACAAATGAATATTCTGGAAGATGGATATCTAAATCTAGTGTGACTATTTATATTTGTAATTAATAATCGTTTAGATATTATCCTGAAACTAATTTTAGAAGAGAAGTTCCATGCTTCATTGTCTCGAGAGTAGCATCCCATGCTTGCAACTTGACCACCCTTCTCGATGTGCCTCCTTTCTTCTCTGTGGTCATTTAGATCAGGAATTGGCAAGTGAGACAGGAGTGGGTCAGCTACTGCCTGTGGGTCCAGTCCAGCCCACTGGTCGGTTTTCGAGTGGCCCACAGGCTAAGATTGTTTTTTTACATTTTTAAATAGTTGAAAATTAAAAGAAAGACTATTTTATGATGTATAAAGCTCGTATGAAATCCAAATTTCAGTGGCCTTACATGTTTATTGCAACACAGCCGTGCCTGCTTGTCACTATCTGTGGCCTCTTTCACACCTTGATGCCAGAGTTAACAAGAGGCTTCATGGCCCACAAAGCCCAAATCACTCACTGCGTGACCCCTTACCGAAAATGTTTGCCAATTCCCAATTTAGATCCAGGTAAAGACGTCTCTGTGCGCTCAAGATGTTGAAAATGTTTCTAAGTGTTTGGTTAGGTCCTTTCATGTCTGTTTCAAATTGCAATAAGAGCTCATAGTTACTTTTGTTTGTGTGTTCATCAGAATAATTTTAAGTGTTTCGGTGGTTGTTTTATAGGACCAGTGACACCATAGTCCTTTCCCACAAAGAGCACCTGCCGGTCACTCAGATTGTGATGACAGACACAGGCCGACCACATTCTGAAGCAGCTTACACACTGGGGCCACTGCTCTGCCGTGGCGACGGTAAGTAGTGACGAGAAAAAGCTTTGTTCTCGCAGCACCATGTTTTGGTTATAAAAGAGTAGACAGATGCTCTTGTTTGGGCCAGAGAGAAAGTGAGTGGCAGTGTGGAGACCAAGACGAATAATAAATACAAACACATGGTCTGTACTGAAGATCTATATTTTTCTTAATTAAGTGTTAGCTTATCTTTGTTTTAACTTATTGGTTGACTGGATTTGTTGCCCATTTATTGTTTTTCTGCCAGAACAGTCCCTAAGCAAAGTGTTTCCCAAATGTGTGAATGCTTGGGAATATTTATTCATTGCCCTTATACTCTTCAGACAATGGTAGTGGTAGAAAATGATCGGATCACACTTTTCTCTTTGTGTATATGCGATTTCACCGTTGTGTGGCACTGAGTGTTACAGTAATCTTTTTTGCTGCAGCGTTTTCATTCATGGTTGGATTTCATGGTCCACGTTCCCTCACCCACCCAGCACTCACTGGCACTGTGTTCTCAGAATCCGTTCAAGTCTGTGAGAATCTACCTATTGCTCTAGTACATGAACAGCAATTCAGCTAGAAATAACCTTTTTCCCTGAGAAAAACGTTAACAGTGTTTCTTATTTACTAGCATCGTATGCTGCTGTGGAGAAGTCTGACACTACGTTTATTTTGACTTCCTTCTCTGCTTCAGTATGTGGAGGTTACTGCTGAGAGAGACAGTCCAGTAGGGACCTTGAGTATGCCTGCACATTCCTGTGGAGAGTGGCAAATGGTGCGGCATTTCCATCCCCTAATACCAAGCAGTCTCTCTAACCAATTGTACAGGCAACTAAGTAGGTCAGAGAGAATACAGCATCACTAACCATGACTGCTCACTTGTCAGAGAGGAAGGGGACTGACTTGTTTGCTGTTGCTGAAAAAAGTCCTGGACACTTGTCCTGGGTTTCTCATCTAAGATGCAACCCTACAGTGTGTGTGGTGTCCTCCTGGGCCCATGGATCACATCGTCCAGTGGGTTTGGAGATTAAGGGGAATCCATGCTGATATTCTGAAGCTCATGCTATTTGCAGTGCTTTGAGTAATAAGGTCCTTTTTGACTCTGACCCAGCAATTCTGCCTTTTGTAGCAGCTTGTATGAAACTGTGGCAAACCAAATTGCTAGCTTGCAAGTAGGGTGAAATCTGACTCTTCACGTTCTTGACAGCTATGTTATCCTTCAATTTCAAGTACTTATCCAGAATATGCCTCAGTGTTAATTAGTCTGTGTTAAAATTGCGTGTGCTTATTTTGGCCTAGATGTTCTTTTCTCCTTTAAGAAGAATGGTTGAATTGTGCTTTGAATCCGTTTTCTTGTTTCATGTGTTGGATTCTCTGCATCTAGGACTTAACTTCGACTTTTCTTCCTTTGCTTCCCATACATTGTCTGTGTTTTCCAAGTACTTTAACCTCTTTCTTTTTTCTCTGCATTCAATGTGATTACCCTAAGCTTTTCCTCAAATCTAAGTAATTTAATATCAGCTGTGTTAATTCTGTTTCTAAATATTTCTCATGTATTGATTATTTCTATGATGATTCTGAGTCTCCATGTTTCCTTAAAAATCTTTTAAAATCTATTTTCCAATTATCTAAATCTTTTTGGCTCCTGTTTTGCTGGATTAGTGCAAATATTATCCCCAGACTATGAAGCTCTTACAGGAATTTTCCTTCACTAGAGTCGTATTCTTTCAGATTAGCTTTTTGGCATCTGTATGCTATGATTCATCTTAATTTCCTTTCTTTCTCCATTCAGTCTATCTTGTATATGGTCCTTTCTTCCTTCCTCTCTTCCTTTCTTCTATCCTTCCTTCTTTCCTTTCTTTCTTTTTCTCACAGTATATTTACATAGTGGCTGTGCTTTTTCATCTTGTTTACACCTGTAGTGATCAGCTGTGTTCAGACATTTCATTTATTTATATATAATGCAGTTGAATTCTACTTGACATCTGTCTCTTCATAATCAGATACATATTTCTTCTGTCTTCTGAACTGTAATTATAGGACTAGAATTTGTTATTCTATCCATTTTGTTCCTCTCAAGTTGGTAAAGGAGGGGATCTGTTGAGTTGGATCTGATTAACTGGCTATTCTCTGTGCTGTTTTATCTTCAAGCATTAGTGTAGTAAATGTCCTGTGTCAGGTGTCACACAACAACATGGAAGGGGTATGCTGTGCTTATTTCAGGATGTCTACAGGCTTCCAAGTCTCCCCACATTCCAGTATTAACACCAGAAAACCTGGACCTTTTTTTTTCTGACTGTTGAGATTCTGACATCAAGCGCTGGTTGGTAGGGTCTCTACATTTTAAAATTTTTTCCTAGATTATTTCCTCACTGGTAAATCACCTCAGCCCTTCACATTTTCTCTCCAAATGTGAGTGTATTTGAGACACTCTTCAGAATACTTCATTCACCTTCAGTTTCTCAGCAGGACTTCTCTGACAGTGTAGCAAAGAGCAAGTGTGATATTTAAAATAGTCCTTTCAACAAAAATTCCTCTATCGCTTCCTTATCTCTTTTCTTTCCTCTTTTTTTTTTCTCTCTTTGTCTATTTTCCTTAAAACAATATTTATTGATTCCTTGGAACAGGTAGGACGAGTGGGACCTGTAAGCCAGGGCCATGGAGGCATTTCAGGGGTCAGGAAGTTGGTTGCACACAGGAAATGAGCAAATATGTAGATACACCGAGGATAATGGGAGTAGTTTTCTCACTGAGAAGGGAGTTATACAAATGGGAAGGAGAAGGACTAAAATGAATCTTGTGGTGCTGAGTTGGAAATGGAGGTATCAGTGTGAGCTCATGGATTTTAATCTATGTATAATAGATAAATATAGAATAAATATTTTAAAAAGTGTGTGTGTGTGTTTGTGTGTGCGTAGTGTGGTATATGAATATGCATATTTACTGGTTTTGTCCACTGAGAGAACCTAGAAGCAAGGACACCCTAGTAGATATCCAGCATGTAAATCTGGGTTTCTAAACACCATTTTCTGTCATTCCCCACTAAAAGAAGCCACAGCTCCCTGAGAAATGGCTGATTCCAGAGATGGGGCACAGAAAATGTAACATGTGCCTAGATAATTTGGTTGTGACAAAAAGTAATCATAATAATAATACTAATAATAATGCTTGAAAGAAGGGACATCAGGGTCAGCTCAAAGGGGCTCTTATTGACCATATTTGAGACAGTTTATGCATCAAAATAAGTTAGGGATTTAAACCACTGAATAGGATAAGAATCTCAAAGCGAAATTAATATAAGGAAACTGTTAAATAAGCAAATAAATAAAAGATTAAGAGAATAGCTCTTTCTGACAGAGAAATGCCAACCGTTTAAAGTATTGGGACGATGATGAGCTTGGAAGTTCATCACTGGCAGCCGTCATTACAATAATTTTCATCAAGAACCATCAATAGATTGTAAAACCAGTGGGTGAAAGTTTGAAAAAGTGGGAAAGGTTATGGTTTGCACAGCCTTAAACTGTCAAAATATGTATGATTCACAAAGAGAAAAGTAGTAACTTTTAAACAAATTTCATTTTTTAGGGCAATCAAAGCTGACATGACAAGTATGGGGGCTAATCAGCATTGTGTGCCTCCCGATATGATACACTGAGGAGAACACAGCAGAACTTCTATGGTCTTTTTTACAAAAATACACAGCATGAATTGAGTAGATCAGAAAAATCCAAATTGAGAAACATTATACAAATCAACTGATTTTTGTTTTATGTCAGAAAAATAGCTAAAAAAAAAAAGACTGACAGAATGTTCCAGATTGAAGAACACTAAAGAGACTTGAGAAGTAAATGTAATGGGTCATCCTGGTTTGGATGATTGTTCTGGAGGAGTTCAATTCTGGGCAGATTTACCCCGGATTCAGACAGGCCCAAGAACAACAGAGTCAGGTTCACTGCAACTCTTTAATCATGGTGGCCAGCGATGCCGGGTCTCTGCACTGAGGTTTGTCTCTGTCTGTTTTTAAGCCGACCTGCACAATAGTGGCCTGCAGCCATATTATGAGCACATAGTTATATTTAACAAGTTACATTAGTTTCCCTAGTCATAAGGGAGCGCTATCTTGTACCGGTGGGCCAAGGTCTAAGAGAGTACTATCTTGTTCCGGCCAGGTGAGGAAGCCTGACTGGTTCCATTTTCCTCACACTCCAACCCTTCGGGGTTTGTCCCCACACAATCTACATGATTTGATTCTTCTGCAAAGGTCCCTGGGCAAAGAGGGAGGAACACTGTACCCAAATGCCAAAGCCACAATACAAACTGTAACAACATACAAGCCAAGTGCAGGCAATACGAAAAAGGACAATGAGAGCGGTCCTCCATCCTGATGCTAAGGACGACCGCCACTCCTCCAAAGGATCCGTGTCTTGCTCTATACAGGATCAGAGGCATTCCAAGTACTTCACCCACTCCACTTGTCAAGTGAGGTGGGCACGAGCTTCCATGGTGAACCTCTGAAAGCCCTCCAAAGCAATTCAGTGCATGCCCAGGTGCTGATTGGTTAGTCACATAGTGTAGGGTGTGGTCCCAGTCCACCAGGGGACTTGCAGCAACCCAACTAAGGACGATAGGAGAGAGGAGTTATAGGTTCCAACATCATCAAGTGCCTTCCCCCAATTAATATACAAGCTAAAGTCTTATCCTGTGATAAGAGAGTGGCAGGTATTGCTGGTTTCCCTAGAGGCTTAGTGTACCATACCTTTTCAGCCTTTGCTGTAATAGTTTGTGGTTCTAGTGTAGGAGTAATGGAGAGGCTTACGCTGGCCATAATGATTACACAAACATTCCCTTTAGAATACTAGTGCTTTTGCCTCCAAGCAGACAATAGACCTGTGCCATTGAGGGCAAAATAGCAATAATCCATGGCGTGGCTGTCAAATTTCAAATTTCAGGCCTTTGTTGTAGCCCATGTTGACTTTTCTCTGGGGTGCACCGGTCTCCGGTGTAGCCAACTGGCTAAGTCTCTCATGGGAATAGTCTCCGACCATCTGACTTTAGCCAGTGCGTCAGCTTCACTGTTTCTAGGTATGTCCGGTGACATGATAAACTATAATCCTTTAGATGGCCAAATTCCCACAACTTCTGCCGCATCTCTTGACCTCACAGTGCTATCTCGTTCCCGTGGACCAAGCTCTAAGGGAACGCTATTCTGTTCTGGCCAGCGAGAAAGCTTGACTGACTCCATTTTCCTCACAATGGTGGACTGGAAGATAAGTAAATAGTTTTTGTTGTCTGTTTTTGCTAAGAGGGGAACTAATAGGACTGTTTTCTTTGTTTGCAAGAAAGACAGAAAGCATATGTGTTCTGGCTTTCAGAGTCACACATCCAACGGCCTTCTTCAAATCTCCCCTTGGATTGGATGCATAACAGATATCTCAAATTCAACATGTCCCAAACTGAGCTGCTTCTCAAACTTCTTCAAAATTATTCCCCATCTCAGTTAGATGAAAACCCCTGAAGTAACCTCACACTGCCCCTGTCCTCTCACACCCCACACCCAGCGCTAGCCATCGCACTAACAGTGTTAATAAAATGCAGCTGTCATAAAAGCCATTCCTCTGTAATATGAATTGTTTAAGTTTGGAAATCGGCTCTCATGGGTTTGGATCTCTCCCGCTAGTTGGTTATTTCACTTCTCTGAGATTATCGCATCAGTGAATAGGTGACAATAATTCCTACACAGTGTTAGCATTAAATTCACAATGATTCTGAACCTGACCCTGTCTCAGCACCTCTAGGATACTGCTGGTGTGAACTCATAACTGGTCACTTTGCTTTTGCATTGTCTTGCTTAACTTTTTCTCAACACAGAATTCTGATCCTCAAAATAATCACTATTGGACTGTTGATGTCATGACTGTATTGTGTGAATGTTCAGAACCCCAGTGAAGGCTTACCATAAATTATTAATGTGTTTATCAGTAATAATCCTGTGCATATAAAATATAACTGTTGTTTTTATTTCATCATTTTCTTTTGTCTTCTGTTCTTTTTATAAACAGAGTCATTTTGGAATTCAGCTTCCTTCAACACGGAGACTTCATACCTTCATTTTCCTACTTTCCGTGGGGAACTTACTGCCGACGTGTGTTTCTTTTTTAAGACCACAGTCTCCTCTGGTGTGTTTGTGGAGAACTTGGGGATCACAGATTTTATCAGGATAGAGCTGCGTGGTGAGTTGCCCATTCTGGACAAGTCATGGGATGCTCATTATTTAACAATAAAAGCTCCAGCTAAACACAATTTTAAAGTATTGTCATTCTTACTTTATCATTGGATTCTTATTAAATACTAAAATTCTATGATCTTAGTTAATCATTTTTAAGAGGTAATAAAGCAATGAGGCATAAAGCATGTAATAGTCTATAAAAACATTATGCCTTCTCTTCTTGACTATAGCTGGGTACAGTCAGTTTTAAACCCAAAGTCATCAAATTGTTTATGAATTACACAAGTATTTGATCAGACATATTTTTTGTGTGTGTACCCAAATCTTAATTTATTACTGTCAAATTTGCATTCAGTGTTTTTAAAATGAGATGATGCTTTGAAACATTTTTAAATAGAAGCATTTAAACATGTAAAATAAATGCTATTTGGTATTCTAGCTATGGGACTCATCAAGACTGAATCGTGAACTCTGAGGTTAAATATGTTACAATCAGTTGCATTTTTTTCCCCTCCAGAATGCAGTTTTATTTTGCCCCCTTTCCCAACTCACATTAACACTTTTCTGCATCATTGGCATTTCTCCGTGCATAATGAGCATGTCATGATGTTTTTCTGTGTCTACACAAGACCAGATTTTCTTCCCTGTGAATTAACTTGAGAAATACTCATAATACATTCCTAGCTCCCACAGAAGTGACTTTTTCCTTTGATGTGGGAAATGGACCTTGCGAGGTTACGGTGCAGTCACCCACTCCCTTTAATGACAATCGGTGGCACAAGGTGAAGGCTGAGAGAAATGTCAAAGGAGCATCTCTTCAAGTTGACCAGCTTCCTCCGAAGATACAACCTGCTCCTGCCGATGGCCATGTCCGCCTGCAGCTCAACAGTCAACTCTTCATTGGTGAGTGCTCTTGGTTTATTTTTGAACTTGGTGGGAGCGAGGAGTTGGACCAAGACAAAATCAGAACTATGAAGTGCTGATAGCAACAATTGCAAACAGCAACAACTCCTACTATTATTAGCAGTATTTATTGATAACCTGGTAGGTTCCAGGAACTTACTAAGTGCTTGTTATGTTTTATCTTATGGTGTAGGTATTATTGGCCCCTATTTACAGATGAGATAATCTCAGAGAAGTAGAAGAACCAACTCGTGGGAGAAATCTAAACCCATGAGAGCTGATTTCCAAACTTGAATAATTCATTTTACAGAGGATTGGTTTTTGTGACAGCTGCACTTTATCAACACTGTTAGAGTGATAATTAGTAATTTTTATCCATTTCTCCAGTTTTAGTTCTCAGAGGAATTAGATAACTTGTCTTACAATTGAGACAAAAGTCACCCAATGTGCACTCAGAAACCGACCACAGGAGACCTGGTTGGCAGAAGCAGCAGTGTGTCTACCCATGGCGAGACTTTCCAGGGCCCAGTCCTCTCCTGGTTTCCTCACCCTTGTCCTCACTTCTGGGACTCTCGCATTACATACCCCTTGTCTATCACCAGGTCGTGCTCCTCTGTTTTCATGGTTCATTTATATAAAGATTAGAGCTCTGGCTCCTGGTCTTTCCTTCAGGTTGCTTATTTACTGTGTTTTCACCATTGTTTGTTTTTCCCAAGGGGAAAATCTGTTTTGCTATATTACTGCTCAAACTACCCCACTCTAATGTAGGAATGATATAGATTGAAACTCTCACATGCTCCTTTCTTACGCATTTTAAAGCAAAAATGGATGCAATCTAATTACAATCTGGACTACATTCACAAACTATCACACAGCCTACTTTACAAGAGAATGCATACAACTTCCAGGTACTAAATGCTACACGATGAGTCTAGTGTGCTTGTGTGTGCATGGGTTTGTGTGTGGGGGGGGGGGTTTGTGTTGTGTCTATAGGGAGTGTGTATACCATGGCTCCCTAATACCTAGCTTCAAGCATGATTAGCTCTTATATTAAGGTGAGATGAGGCCTCTTCAAAGGTCTTGAAACCATCAAACTACTGGAAAGAAAGAACGCAGGGATGAGTCAATTAGGGAACTTTATATTCTCACTTATAATCCTTTGATTATTTAATGGAATGCCTAGGAGCAAAATTAGCACAAAAACTCACTTAGCATAAGCTTTCACCTTAAGGTGGAATGTATAAAACTTTGGTGGATGTGGCTTCAGAATCACTGAGGAAACTGGTTAAAAATTTGTGTTTGGGGCTCCCACCCTAGGTCCACTAAATCAGAATCTCTAGAAAGAGACTCAAAAATCTGCATTTTTTTTTTTTTTGCTTCTAATATGGAGAATTATTGCCTTCATAATGGCACTTGTTTCCACACAAGTGTTTAAATCTCTCTAAAAAGTTTCATTATCATTGAAGCTTGATACAATAAAATATGTATGTGTGTATGATTCAGTTAGTGTGTACAACTGTATCCTCACACAGGAGTGGATGAAGTGAGGGGTAACTTGGTTTCACCCCTTCTAGCTTCCTTTTCTTTGCTTCTCAATCTCTTTTCACACTTTATTTCAAGAGTTCATCCAAGTAAGAAATGTATCTACATATATTCTTATTTTTGTAAAAATTCTGCAAGTTCACACATAGCCATTATAATGCACATTACTGTTCATAAACAAAAGTAAAATAAGGGTTGATGTGGTTTATATTTTGTTCTTTGTAAAGAATCTAAAGTGAAACTCTTTCTTAACTGATAAATAACTATTTTTAGAATTCATATTTGCATAGGTCACTGCATTTTAAAGTGATTTGAATACATGTTTTATTTGATGTCATTTAAAGTTTCATATCTGATAACTTTCTAAATCTTGTATGTTCACAAAACTTTTTGACAAATCGCTATTTCTGCCACTCTCCGTAAGGCCTGACTTTGACATGGACATAAAATCCTGAATAAAATACCAAGGAACACATTTCTATTTGCAGTGTTTCCTTTGTAGGTGGGACAGCCAACAGGCAGAAAGGCTTTCTGGGATGCATTAGGTCTCTGCAGTTGAATGGGGTGGCCCTGGATTTGGAAGAACGAGCCACAGTGACACCGGGAGTGGAGCCAGGGTGTGCAGGACACTGCAGCAGCTACGGATACTTGTGTCGCAATGGAGGGAGATGCAGAGAGAAACACAAAGGGATCACTTGTGACTGTGCCTTCTCAGCATATGATGGGCCATTTTGCTCAAATGGTAAGTGTGACCAAGGAGCAGGTTATAGGGAAAGTATGGGAAACTTAAAGAATATGAAGAACACTTCTGGAATTTGACATTGCAAAGAAAGGATAAGACTGAGTAATTGAAATAGAATCAATTCTGTCCCAAATTCCTCTATTCCATTTTGAAAACTTAAGGCTATCTACTGTCTCTGAATTTTTTATTTGGAAGATCTCTGTGTTACCCTCTATCTTCTGTTCAGTGCTAATCCTCTGAAAATAATTTGGTTTTCAAAACCCGGTACTTGGTCTCTGCTAACATTAAGGTCATTAAAGCATCACTGTTATTTTATTCATTGATTTATTTATTATTTTAAGAGATGGAATCTCACAATGTTGCTTAGGCTGGACTCAAACTCCTAGGCTCAAGCAATCTTCCCACCTATGGTTGTTTATAGCAATGACTTTACATGATGCAAAAAGACTTTTAAAATTGCTTTTTAAATAAAATAAGCATATTAACTGGGAAGGAAATGGATATTTAATTAAACACTCACATGTCATTAACAAGACCACTTAGACACTTTGCTCTAAGAGGTCTATCTGTCCTTGGAGGCGTATAGTGGGATTTCAAGCAGCTTCTGCTCCGGCATAATTGGTGTTTTAAAAGGAAGGTAGCGACTGATTTTAGTATTAAGTACACTGTACTGACTTCTTTAATATATTTGACACTTGTAATACTTTTATGAAGCCTCTTAGGCTGTTGAGTCACCAGAATTAGAAATGAATAGCTTTTTAGAGTGTCACAGGGCTGTGACACATGTATTATGTTTAGCAGCACAACAGACTTTAATTGCTTCAAAAATCGTGTGACTTTCAAAAGAACTTTGAGAATTATTTATCTAGAAGTCGATGAAGTTTTTAAAAAGGCACCTGCATAAATCTTCTGTTAGTCCTCTTGAATAAGTTATAATTCAAGATCTATCTGGAATAACAAATCACATAGTTCTGGTGCAAATACAGAATCCTCTTCATAGCTAAAAGCCAGCTTCAGAACTGACCATTTCTTCATGCGTACAAGTGTTGATTTTTAAATAATTCCCAGTCCACATTTGCTAAGTGCCATTTAAATGTTATCTTATAATCTAAAATTATATTAGACATAAACATTGTCTTTTAGGTGAATAGGAAATGACCCTCAAGTGGCTAGGGACTAAATTGTAGATAGATTACTTAATCTAATAAGAATGGCATGAATTTTCAGTGAATTCCTTATGTTTTATGGAAATAAAAAGAATATAATAGTATTTCAAGATAATGATTACATATCAATGCCTTCTTTTTCACTTATAAGTATATTTAGGGTATGTGTATTTGTGTGTGTATGTATGAAACACATTTTTGGAATTAATCTGATATAAATTTAAATGTCAACCTTTTATAAACTGTTTTTATGAAAAACTTTTCAACTTCTCTTTCTCAGAACATTGTAGATGTCACTTTAGATAAGTTTCATTTTTTGGTGAATAATACATTGAAGAAAGATATCTGGCCTTTCAAAAAGTTTTAAATTCTGATCTTGGAGGGTTGTTTCTCAAATCATCCTCTTCCTGGCTATTGCCAGAGAGCTGGTGCATACTTTGTACAAAGCAATGGGTTTTTAAAGACAACATAAAATTCAAGTTAAAATATGATGCACAAAGAGACACTTCTAGAATAACTATGTAAGGAGCTCTGCAAACCCTTTTTTTCTTATCTTTTTTTTTCTTTTGAGTTGGAGTCTCACTCTGTCGCCCAGACTCAGTGCAGTGGCACGCTTCCAGCCACCACAACCTCGACCTGCTGGGCTCCAGCAAGCCTTCCGCCTCAACCTTCCAAGGAGCCAGAACTACAGGCGCACACTACCACACCCGGCTAGTTTTTGATTTATTGTAGAGACGCGGTCTCGCCAAGTTGCCCGGGCGGGTCTCGAACCCGCGGGCTCAGGCAATCCGCTCCCTCCCAAAGTGCTGGGATTACAGGCCGAGCCACCGAGCCCGGCCTGCAAACCCTTTTTCATGTCAAACAAATATAACTGGCAAAAATTATTATTTAAAAAAGCATTTAAAATCTCTAGAAAATGTCTTAAAAGAATACATTGAACAAAGAAACATTTACTGAATCTGAGTGATAACAATGAAAGCATGAAACGTTAAAACAAAGGCCCACTCCTTGCACGTCCCCCTTTCCAGCTCAGCATAATGGAAGCTCTACGCTATGTGTGTGTAGCCAAAATGCCAGAGTTTCTTCTCTCTCCAGTTGCTACTCCAGAGACAAAGCTTTACCCCAAAATTGGATGCCTGGTTTCTCATCACCCCCAGCTTTGTGTGGCAGAAGCCCTGCCCAGTCAGAAACAGCTGAGAAGTGTGGAGTTTCCTTCCTAAGACAAGTCCTCACTTCCAGAACAGAAACTCCTCGGGTGTAGCAACTTGAGAACAGTGGGTCCCAACTGCCCTCACTCCAGCTTGCTGGTAGGATAAAATGTTCATACCGGGCCAGATTAAGCAGGAAGTTACCCTGCCCCGCCCCCCGTACTTACCTGTAAGCAAAGGTTTCACTCAAAGGAAGCAGGGCACTTTCCTTGCCCACGGCTCTAGCATAGTGACACAGAGGTTTGACAAAGGAGTAGAGGCAAGCCATGAAAACGCGAAGCTCTGTAGCCCTCCTGGAATGAACTGGTTTTATTTGGAACAGGGCATGAGTAAGTTCAAAACTAATGGTGCTTTTGAAAACAATGGAGATTTGATGGTAAGCAATTAAGAGGAGGTTGGCATCTCCAAGAGAGCAATGAGCTAAATCGTAGCCAAGCTAGAAGTTTAACAGAGAAAACCAGAGAATCAGACAACTGAGAAGATGCCTCCTGAAGTCAAAGCATGCCTCAAAGACTAGAATCAAGACTAACCCTGCAGGCCCTGGATTCAATTGGATCAATTGTGAAATCATTTCTTCCCTGGAGCATCACTTGATACAAGAAAACAAACACCAGAAAATAAGTGGAAGCTAATGTTTGGGTATTATGTCAACAGAGGCAGATAGATTGCCATAAAGAAAAGGTGAAGAAAAAGTCCAAGAAAGCCTTTCTAAAACTACCATCATCCCAGATGACTGGGCATATGCGCAAGGATATACTTTATGAGATATCATATCAAAGACTGCCCACTTCAGGGGAAATAGACTTTACTAAAATAGTCCAGCCAAGTCACTAAGCTAACAAAAACTCACACAACAACAAACCCTGGGGAAGAGCTATATCCAGAATTGTTATATTATCTGCAATGTCAAGTTTTCAAGCAAAATGAAAACTTGCGAGACATGCAAATAAGTAGAAGAGTGTGATCCAAACATGGGAGAAAAAAGTAGCCAATAGAAACCGACTTGAGAGAGTCCAGATATCAGACTTAGCAGACAAGTATTCCAAAGCAACTTTTACATATATGTTCAAAGAACTAAAAGTAAGCTTATTCTATGGATTGAATGTTTATGTCCTTCCAGCATTTATATGTGGAAGCCCCAATCACCAATATAATGATATGTGGAGGTGAGCGTTTGGGAGGTGATTGGGCTTAGGTAATTGGGTCATGAGAGTGGAGCTCCCATGATGGGATCAGTGCTCTTATGGAAAAAAAAAATAAATGAGAGCCCTCTCTCTCTCCTCTGTGTCAGGATATAGCAAGAAAGCAGCCATCTGCAAACCAGAAAAAGAGTCCTCACTAGGAACTGAATCTGTTGACACTTTGATAGCAGACTTCTCAGCCTCCAAAATTGTGAAAGAAAAAAAAGTTCGTTGTTTAAGCCACACAGCTTATGATATTTTGTTACAGCAGCCCAAACAGACTAAGATGTCATGCTTAAAGAAGTGAGAGAAAATGTGCCAATATTTCATCAATATAGAATTACAACAGATGAAATATTTCTAACCCTTTACCCATTTAGAAAGAATAGTGCAGCTCACTCTCTTGTTCATCTAATTTTACATAAATATGCTCTTTGAGACTGAGGCAAATATGACTGGTTTTTAATGAAATACAAAGATGAAATACAAAAACTGTATTTGGAGCTATTTCTAAACAGCACTTGTCTCTAATCCCAACAAGAATTACTAAGAAAAAAAAAGAGAAGAGAATTACTATATTTTGTAATTCGCTTCTTTTTTAATCTCGGGGTAAACGCTGCAGTCACAAGCACCACCAGTGAGTATCCTTGGATCAAACAGAGAAAAGGGTAAGAGAAACAAATAGAAATTCTGGCATCAAAAAGTACAATAATTGAAATGAAAATTCACTAGAAAGACTCAAGAGTAAATTTGCACTGGTAGAAGAAAGAAACAGCAAACTTGAAGATGGATCAATAGAGATTATGTATCCTGAAGAACAGGGAGAAAAATGAACAAAACATCAGAGAAATGACAGACATCATTAAGAGTATTGATATATATATATATCATTCACTCCATCTTGCTGCTAGGATAAAATTTTCATATATATATATAACTGAAAATGCCAGAAGGAAAAAAGAACAAAGATCAGAAAAATATTTGAAAAATAATGGTTGAAAACATCCCTTAATTAATGAAAAACATTAGCATATAAATACAAAAGCTCAGCCAGGCTCAGTGGCTCAGCCTGTAATCCCGCACCTTTGGGAGGCCGAGGTGAGTGGATTGCCTGAGCCCGCGGGTTCGAGACCCGCCTGGGCGACTTGGCGAGACCTCATCTCTACAATAAATCAAAAAAGTAGCCGGGCGTGGTAGCGCGCGCCTGTAATTCCAGCTACTCGGAAGGCTGAGGCGGAAGGATCGCCGGAGCCTGGCAGGTCGAGGCTGTGGTGGCCGGGAGTGGCCGCTGCACTCCAGTCTGGGCGGCAGAGTGAGACTCCGACTCAAAAACAAACAAACAAACAACAAAAAAAAAAGCTCAATGAAATTGAGGTAAAATAACCACAAATAAATTCATACCCAGATACAGCTTAGTAAAAATATTGAAAGCTAAAGTTTAAAAA